TAAAAGTCCACTTACAAAAGAGCAACCAAAAAGTGCTATACTGTTGGAAAGTGCCTTTGAAAGCTCGAAACGTCCAGAATATTCGCTCGCAAAATTACTGCGCACGGTTTTAACTCAAGAAACGTCAAAACGTACGGAAATCAGGTAGTTATTCGTGACAACTTGCGCATGATCGACAACATCGACCAGAGGTTCCGCGATTGCAACACGTCGAATACTGGACATGTTAAAACCATAAACATTGTCCCACCTAGAAAATACAGATAAATTTGCAGCAAAAATATCCAACTGAACCCGCAATGGACATTTTACTCACTGAGAAAGGCAACCATCTAAAGTACCAGCAACAGTAAATACTTATACGACTGCTAATCGTCCCTCTTTTTCCTGAGTTTTTGAAGGAGGAGTGGAGGAGCGGAAGAAAGTCAGGAGGAGAAGATGGGAAGCCAGTCTTGGCTTCTAGCACGTTATGCGCACAACACTAATTTGTCCTACAAGTGGATTAACTTATCTCAGGAAGACCGGCAACAAACGGTAACTTATTAGCTCGAATGTCTACATCCGGATTAAAATTCATGCCAAATTTGAAAAATCTCTTTATGGGCAACACATTCGCTCTGAACCATTAGTCTAGAATACTTGGTGTTACAGTGAGGCATGTCTATCACAGCTAAATAATGCCCACATGTAGTGAGCCATTTATCTTTTACTTACTTACCAATTTCACTACAAACTACATAAGTTTTTGAATAAGTCATATCGGCGATACGCCAATATGTATTTACTTCCTAAGAAGTAGATGCTCACCAATTGATTTTATCCTCTTTATACTGCCGGTCTTCGATGGCACAAAGGAACAGCTTAGCTCTGTCTGGAAAAAGAGCGCCTCCTGGCTTCAGCCATTTATCACGCGCAAAAATGACCGTATTCAACATCGATTCGTAGAACAAGCAATAACCCATCCACTCAGAAATTATGACATCTACCTGCAAAGACACAAATGCAATGCCATCTGTTATTCACATCGGTAGGTACGGAAAAGGAAATCCTTCGGGAAACAAAAAGGAGAAGATGCAAAACACTGTGCATGTTAAAGTACTGTAAAGTCTTTGCGCCATTTTTTCATAAAAGAAGGCCATGTGATTGTCTCCAAGAACAGCTCCAGGTATTTCTGCGGCTGCACCTGGATGATGTTGCAAACAACGACTATCTTTTGGCACATTTCATCTTGAAAGCTCCTTAAGATAAACCGTGACGAAAAACGTTGGCAGGTGAACTAAAAACCAACTAAATACTGGGGGATTAAAGTAAAATATACAAAATTTTACTTGAAAAAAACAAAAATAAATAAAACGTCTTGGGCAGTTCTGTCCAGTGGATGCCGGCTGTTAAAAATTTTCACTGCTTTATAATTCTTCATTGCCGTATGTGCAAAAACAGTCGATATGTTATCAGCTTCCTAAGCTGCGAAATTTTTTCACCAAAATGAAGCGCAGGAGTATATGAGAGCTGAACCTAAGTTTGCAGAGCTGGATATGAACGAAACACACCTTCCAAAAATTTTAGCTATTTTATCTGATCACCGAACTAAAAATCCTTACGCGTCCATAAG